CAAATAAACAAACACAACTGCAAACATGTGGATGCACACACACACACACAGAGTATGTATGTATGTATGTATGTATGTATGTATGTATGTATGTATGTATATATATATATATGCATGCATAGTGTCAGGCTTTGGGTTTAGGATTCGGGGATTATATAGGACTGCGTCCTTGGCAGTTTGGGGCGCAAGGTTTCGCATCCCTGGAGGGGCTGAGGATGTTACGCCGAGGACCCCAAGGCTTTAGCACAGGGGTTTGGGAGGGCGCAAGGCCTAGGGGGCGGTTTGGGGGGTTCAGGGTAATACACCCTAAACCCTAAACTCCCTAAACCCTAAACCCTAAACCCTAAAACCCTAAACCCTAAACCCTAAACCCTAAAACCCTAAACCCTAAACCCTAAACCCCAAAACCCTAAACCCTAAGGCGTAAGGGATTTTTGTCCGAACCTTTTTTGCTGCCGAGGATCTGAAGGCAAATCCGCCGAGGACCCCCTGACACAGGCCACGATGTCCCCATGGAGCTCGACGTAAGCCATGGTGTCGTTCTCGAAATCCTATGGGGGTTTAGGGTTTTGGGTTTTGGGTTTAGGGTTTAGGGTTTTGGGTTTAGGGTTTAGGGTTTGGGGTTTTGGGTTTTGGGTAGTTGGAATTGGAAACAACAAATTTTGGGGTATTGATTTTCCAGCTTGTGATTTGGGGTTCAGGCTGCAATGAGTGCAGGATACTATCCCTGTATTATACGACAAGTGGATACGATTTCTGCACCCTCATAGAACCTTACAGAATCCTAAACCCTAAACCCTAAACCCTAAACTTTCTAGCACCTTCAAAGGCTACTACCACGAGTCATCCAGGACCGTACGTCGAAAAAATGCCAGATGTCTGGGCCTCGGAAACTGAGCCTTCCCAGCGAGCCCCAAGCTAAGAATGTAGGGGCCTTAATATTTAGAATAGGGTTTGAGGTTTAGGGTTTAGGGTTTAGGGATTAGGGTTTAGGAATGTAGGGGCCTTAATAATTAGAATAGGGTTTTGGGTTAATGTTACTATAGTTATGATAAGAAGCCCCCCAAAAATAAGGTAGGTCATTATTTAGGCTTCTATATTAGGGCTTCGGGGTCCATGAAAGGGATTCTCGGGCTGATACCAAACAAACGGTGATTGAAAGCGGCCTTGCGAACAATTGCCGGGGCCTCTGTTATGCCCCAAAGCAAAATGCGCTATAACCCTCCTAACACGAACCATGCAAGCCTAAAGTCCCGAAACCGAAAATCCACAGGTCCAACCCCTCTTGAAAACTCTACTATAACGAAGAGCGAGACCTGTAAGCCCTAAACGTAACGATAAACCTGAAAAACTGAACCATAAAACACAAAAAAAACTTTCAAGGCCTGCTCGGGCTTCGGCTTCACGATCGCCCAATCGCCGCTAGAGCAGCCGGTTCTCGAGGTCTCGTGGCGCATCAGCCAGAAGCTCTCCTGCGCAGATAGACTTACTTCTGCAGCATCCTAAGGGGACTAAAGCAACCAAAGGTCGGCGTGTGGGATTTTTTGAGGGAGGTCATGCACCAAAGGATACCTACTCTACTAGGTAGTAGAGTAAACAGGGGGGCAGGAGGGTAAGCTGCTGGCTTTCGGGGGACGAAGGGTACCACCAGAAATCGTGACTGCAAGAAGGTCACCGACTGTCGCCGTCGCAATTTGCAACAGCGACACCGAGAAAGGATGTCATAAACATAGCCATGCTAGTACCGAGCATCTTGCTGATGGCACCACTCATAGCAACTCTTAGATCGGGTAGGGGGAAGGGGGTAGGGTACTATACTTCCTTAGATAAGCCTTATTAGGACCCTTCTCAAGTCCTTGTTAAGGCTATTAAGGCCCCTACTCCCCTCCCCCTTACCCCAGAAGAGTCCTGATGAACAACCCGCTATCAATAATAACATCCGACAGCAACAGCAGCAAAAGCCATAATACTCTCCAGCACAATCACAAAAGCATACGCATTGTCATCACTACAGCACCGAGAATGATGCTAGTCATAAAGTCATCGGAACACGATGGTACCCACTACTGGCATTGTGGTGGGCTGGAGATCATGCACACTGAACTGAGGTCATCTTGGATCATCTCGGAAGCAGAAGCACACCCTGCCAATATTCCACCAAACCAACTAACACGAAGCAGAACCGAAAGCTCCCACGGTGTAGGGTCGCTCAGGGCTTGGGACTGAGGCTGCCTGACGCCAAACTTGAGACATGCAAGGACTCCCTCAACTCAGGTCGATCCTCTGTGGTCAGACCCTTCTTGAAGTAGACCTCATTAGAATAGGGGTTCCTTTCAAGGGATCCTTAAAAGGGATACTACAAGGGTTACTATCAGCGTTCTACAAAAAGGGGCCCTGCTCGCTGGCTTTAAAATTCGAGGCCCCGCGTCAGCTGAGATTCCCGAAGTTCTGGGGGTCGATGGCCTGGGGCCTTAAAAATTAGAATAGGGTTGTGGGGGTGCCTTATGATAGTTATAGTTTATAGTACTACATACCCCAAAACCCTGTTCTAATTATTCAGGCACCCAATATTAGGCCAACTACAAACCCCTCATCGGGGGATCAAACATATAACAGCCAAAGCCCTGCGGAGATTGCCAGCGCGTCGAACTGGCTTCAGACGGGGCAAAGAACATCATCGATGAGTTCAACCATATTCTGGTGCCAACCGAGGGATTGGCAGTAAAGGCCATACTTGGACAATCACGCTTGCCTTCTTACAGGACCCGTGTCACTTGCATGAATGATGGCGTTGAAAAGTCTCCCGAAGATACCCAAACAACCCGCAACAGTACAACAAGTCGCATCCCCTGCCACCGCTAGGGTCTGGGGTTTAGGCTTTAAACTTCTAGGGTCGGAGGTTTCGGGTTTAGCATAACACCTCGACCTACATCCATGGATCCCACCCGAACCAGTGGCGTTTTTCTAGGTCTCAGGGTTCCGGGCCCCTGAACCTTGGACCTTCACTCTCGAAATAAGGTTTAGGCTTTAGGGTTTAGGGTTTAGGGTTTAGGAACCCTGAATCTTGAAAACCCTGGATGCTGAAAGCCCGACGCCTCGATTCCAGTTCGTAAAGCTCGAGAGCTTCCACGACCCTAACATAAGCCCTAAGTGGCAGTAGTAGTAGTAGTAG